AAATATCAAACTCTATTTGATAGCATCATCAAAATTACAATTTCGATTATTAAAAAACGGGAGAAAAATAATATAAAACATTTTACACCACTTTTACTTGCTTTATAATTGGAAAAATGTGAAAAACAGTTTCAGATTATTTCATCCCCTTTTTAAAGATACTGAAAACTCATATTTTTATATAACAAACCATAATCTTCCCTCCAGCGTTATAATCTTTCATCAGCTTCTAATTGGAACGTATGACGTTACAATAAAATCATTTAAAATGAAATTAACTAAACAGACGACGGATACTATCTATATGTTTTACTTGTTTTGATTTCTCTAAAAAAAAAAGATAAACTTCCAATTTTAGAAATGAAAGCTTTAATAGAAGGTTTATGCATTCTTAAGAGTTGAAAATTAAATTAATACAATGTTATTTGTAACGAATAATGATATTTTCCTTAGAGAACAATTCATTTTCTATGAACTTTAATTAAATTGTATTTCCTTCGTCTTTATTAACTCAAATATTTGAATAAAAATGACGTTATCGATTTTCCTTCAGACGGATTTCTATTGTATCTGAAAACTTTTTTTTTTCTTTTTCACTCTCCGAATCGTAAAAAAGCATGACTTATCTTTATAATCATTTCCGTGCGCTTTCGCGAAGTTGGATAATATTTTGCTATAGAAAAAAAAGTCTTTTTGTGTTATTAATTATATACTCAGTATTTAAAAGTTTTAATTTTGAAAAAATACATTATTAAAGCTTAAAAAACACAATTTAATTACAAATATCACCTTTCACAGTTTCTCTGATAGGTTGAATAATGATAGAAATAATAATTGAAAAATAAAACCATATTTTTGTAAAACAATAATTTTTTGTTGACACATAATTAATGAATTAAAACACAGTTTTTTATAAAAGTTCTCTAAGCATTTTTAAAATATAAATAAGGGAACTATCCGTTTAAATTTTTGTTTCAAATATCTCTCTTATTTTAATACAATGTTATTAATTAACAATTATTAACATAATAATGTTTTAACTAATTTTGAAGTATTGTCAAAAATAAAGTTAAAAAAGTATTTACTTAAAGGGTGAAAAACATCAAAACAAGTTTCTTTGATAAAATTTGAGAGTATTTCGTACAATTATCTTTCAACTTCCTCCAGTACAAAAAAAATACTGTTTTTAATTTCATTTTTCCCAGTATTGATTCATCGGATACAGATAGCATTATTTTTTATCACTTAGGACTACTCACGATCACAATACACTAATGCGTGTACTTTTTTTATTCATTTTTAAAAAATATTCTAAAAATATATATTAAGAGCAGCCATTAAGACACACCCGGTGTATTTGTAACATTTAACAGTTTTAAATATTTTTATTTGATTAGTTTTGAGTATTTTTACGTATTCTGCATATTTTTATTTTATCGCCATTGAATAGCCGACCCAATTTTTTGAGTTTACTACTATTCACCCTTTGGTCGTATGTCTACTCTCAGCCGCGAACGCTTTTTTACCGTTCCAGTAGTATGTCTGCTCTCAGCCACCACAGCAACTATGTTAGCCACATCTTAATCGCAAATTACATATTTTGCGGCACTGTGTACATGAATAAAAAGTGTTCTGTATGTTCAAACAGAAAAATTAAAGGCGGAAGACGCCTAACTAATCATTTTTGCGATTCATGTTCTCGAAAACAAGAGCTTCACTTTGGAGACTGCTTTGAAGGATACCACACGATTGAGAACTATAAAATATAATTTTTACAAAAAATTAAAACATATTATTGTGTTACATATGAGCAATTCTACAAATAAACGCCAATTAGGCGGCCAAAAAAAAATTTAAAAATTTTTGGGGGGCACACTATTTCTACATGAATTTTCGTCTTTTTTACACCCTAAACAGGCAAGAAAAAATCGTGAACATGATATATTTTCTTTGTGACATACTTCAAATGTCACATACTCTTTCTGACATACTCAGATAAATCTGAGCCATTTATTCAGATGAAAAGATTTTTACATAAATATAATATTATTATGTCTCTCTAACATGTATATATAGAGATTTCATACTATAATATTATATTTTAGCATAAAAATTGGCGTTTATTTGTAGAATTGCTCATATCGTCACTTTGAAACTAAACCGTGGTAACTCAAAAAAGCAAGTTTTTCAGGAGAGCAATTTCTAACTTTCCGCGCTAATGCTAATCGCGCCTATGCGATAACGATTTATCTGCTCTCTTAATTAATTTTATGGAACTATGAAGATAACACTTTGTTTCTCTAAAAGGGTGATTTTTTTTTACACAAAATGACCCAAATATCTCATTTTTCGATTTACTACGGTTAGTTTCAAAGCGACGATATTTGCAATTCTGCAAATAAACGCAAATTAGGCGGCCAAGCAAAAATTAAATGTTTTTTTTTTGGGGGGGGCATGCTATTTCTGCATGAATTTTCCTTTTTTTACACCCTAAAAAAGCAGGAAAAAATATTAAACATGAAATTATTTCTTTGTGACATACTTTAAATGTCAAAATACCAATTTTAAATTTTTCCCGATTTTTTCAATTTAGGAACTTTGATTAAATTTTTTTATTTTTGTTTTTTATACTAAAATATAATCTTATAGTACGAAATCTCTATAAATACATGTCAGAGAGACATTATAATAACATTATATTTATGTAAAAATCTTTTTATCTGAATAAATGGCTCAGATTTATCTGAGTATGTCAGAAAGAGTATGTGACATTTAAAGTATGTCACAAAGAAAAATTTCCATGTTCACGATTTTTTCTTGCCTGTTTAGGGTGTAAAAAAGAAAAAAATTCATGTAGAAATAGTGTACCCCCCAAAACAAATTTAATTTTTTTTTGGCCGCCTAATTGGCGTTTATTTGTAGAATTGCTCATATATCTAAAGTTTAAAAAATAATTAATAAATTCTATTTTTCGTTTATTATCTTGCATATTATGTATTACTGCTTGTTCAATGAAACTTAATTCCAACCAGCATGACACGCATGTATAAACTTAATACGACCGCAAAGGTTTAATGTTTAACTCCGTAGCCTTGATTTTTGAACCCAATCCAGAAGACAAGGGGTATCCTGGATCAATTATTGGAAAAAAATTGATATTCTGGAAGACTTTTTGATGAAACTAACCCGCATTTGCGTTACATGGAGAGGAAAACCACGAAAACTTCGCACTGTTAGCCTAATGGCAGGGGGACTCTAACCCATCACTCGTCTATCACTAAGAATATTCTATTTTATATTTTATGTTATTTTATTTTATAATCGTCGTTGAACAGATAACCCAATTTTGAGTTTACGACTGCCAAAGTTCAACTCCGTAGCCTTGTAATTTTGAACCCAATCCAGAAGACAAAGGAACTCCTGGATCAGTACCCACAGAGTACTGATTGAATTGATTTGGTATTGATTTGTTATGGGAACTTAGAAGACTTTCGACAGATTTCTATTTCATATTATGCATACCTATACTTTTAGTCATTAAAAATATGAAGGAAGTAATTAATTTTTGAAAATGAATGAAAGGAAACTTAATAGCGCCTAATATTTAATATTTAAAATGCTAAAAAAAATAATTTCCTTTCTCCACTCCTAGAAAAAAAACTTTTAATAAAAAAAACGAAAATGCACTTTCGTTATCTCAATTCATTTGTTTTTCATTTTTTTTAAATGCCCGCTTTAATGAGATGCAACATCACAAAGAAACGTCTGTTTTAAATAAGGTCACAAAAAGCAAAAACAAAACATAATGATCGTCTTCCTGTTTATTCCACCCATCTTTATGGTAGAAATAACTCAAAAAGCATTTTTTACTAATAATTATCAAGATACCGTCAAATAAGGTTTCCAATTAAAAATCATGCTTTTTTTATTTTTTCAAGTTGTTTCATTTAAAATAAACTGCATAATAAAGGGAATAATGCTTTCAGTTTTACGAATTTCAATTAATACTTCGCGTTTATTGAAGCAGTTGCTAGTAATTTGATAAATGAAACGTATAAAATCATGCGTTTTTTAGTGAAAATAACTTTTTTAAACATCTTCCAATTTTATCAATGAATTTAAATATTTCTGTTTGATGGGATTATACTTTTAAAGTGTAATTCAAAAGCATATTCTATTAATTTAAATTTCGACTTCATTAATTTCTACGAGTTTCTTTTCTTTCATAAATAATGATCCTTTCATACTATGAAAGGAATACTATACCTGATTACTTTCACATTTGTTCAGATTTTGTTGAAAAATTGAAAGCATTTTTAAATCTTAAAAACATAATAGCTTTAGAAATAGTTTTCTTCCCATTTAAATTTTCATTTGCACAATTGTTTTAAAAATTATCCACTGTTATTAATTTGTTGAAGTTGTAAGTTTCTTAATTACATAATTAGTTTAATTCTTAATTTTGTTTTATATATATATATA